TTTTTTTGGGTCTACTTTACTCATCTGTTACACTTACTGATGGAAATCTAGTAACATGTACTGTTTCTTTGTATAATCCTTAGTTACTTAGGTAAAGCTGGTTAAGATCAATTCATTTGCATTAGTCCTACAGACTGAAGAGTATTTTGCCTAATCTCATTCAGTACTGACTGTACATCAGTGCTGAGTAAGATGAGGTGCCATGATCCCACCTGCTGAGTGTGGTTCTGGACACTTCAGACCACTTCTGCATTCTGGGCCGAACTGTCAGTATTGGTCCAAGATGGTCCAGAGCAGTATTAAGTTCAGTTGTTAAAGCCATTCTTGTCGAAAAAGGTTCTGCGCTACAGTATGAATTTGTTAGAATTATAGTCTAGTTTAGCTTTTAATGGAAGAAACTGAGTTAGCTGAGTGTCTAGAACTGTATAAAGGCAGTAAATGTAAGTTACAATTATTTAAAAGTCCAAAATACTATCATTTTAAGATCAAAAGAGTGATTTACTCTTAAGCGTATACATCAATAAACAAACGTTTTGTTCACACTCAGTTCAGGGAATTACTTATGGTCAAATGATCTGAGCTACTTAAACTTAAATGGTTTAAGGCAATCATCAATTGAAAACAACACTTCACTCTCTCATTATATCAGGTGTCTTTTAAAAGTCATCAAACACATATTTTGACCAAAATATGTCAGCATGTGCTACTAATAACCTGACAATTGGCAAGCAAGGGCTTGCTGAGCAGTGATTGGAGGGCTAAGGAAACTGGGGTGGGTCTTGAGATCGGTCTGATTAGCTCCCTGATGTTGACAGTCTAGTTACGTCCCTGCCTTGTGTTACAGTACACGGCTTTTGTCTCATACAGGATCCTATACTGTACACTACTATGAAGAGAAGTATGTAGTATACACTATATCCTGGTGCAGTATGCAGTATACAGTAAACAACATGCTATTTGGAACACAGAGTTAGTTAGATTACCAGACACACATACACACACATAAGCATGCAGAGGAACCTGTTTGGGTAAGTTAATTGTGACAATGAGTGAAGAGCAAAGAGCCACTCTGTATTAAAGAGGAAATCTGCAGGTTTTTTAAAAAATGTCTGCATAATTCAGTCACTGAGATGTAAACAAAAAAAATCAGAGTGATTTGATGAAAAATGCTTAACTGTAGAGAGACTTAAAAACTTGGATTTCTTTACAGTGGTGGTGATAAGAACCAGGGATCACAATGTGTACAACTCCAGTATAGCCATTTCCTTACTACCCAAAATCACCACTGAATCTACATGTTTTTATCTTGTAGTTGTGGTGACAAAACCTTGTATCTCCAAAATAGCAACTTTATAGGACAAGGAAAAAAAAACAACTTATCTTTGAATTCAAGTTAATGGAACAAGGTTTATTTCCTTTAGTCCATTCATCATGAATATTTAACACACTGTAAAGATCAACTCTAAAATAAATAAATAATTAAATAACAGAAAAACTGCAAAAAAATTAAAAGCAACAATATACAATGCTGACAACTCTTAAAAATATTAGTAAATCTGGGGTGGGGAAAGCTTCCGTTCTCTTTGGAGAGTATTTCAAGACATTCTGCACATTCCCCTCTGCCAACAATGGATATTAAACATACATTTTAGATCAAAAACGTCATCAAAACTATCATAAATCAATGCCTCAGACCTCAGGCACCATATACATAACCATTTTATGTAAAAGCTTTCTGCGGGGTAGCTCTTGGGGTATGGCTGCAAAAATAGTAATTTCACTAATTAATAGTTTATTTGGTTTATCAAACAGTGCTCTATGGTGAACTTTCAATGCCCTCTCTGTATACGTGCAAACTGTGTGACCTTGATGTTTTGAGATATGTTAATGTGTATTTACTTTTAGATCTAATCTGTATCTCTGGATCTTCATCCTGAGACTAGCCAAATGTTAACGTGACAGTGGACCACAGTTCACCATCTCAGAGTTACAGGCCAGCAAACTCTTAAGATATCAGATAGTAAGGTGAACAGTTTGACTATATATGGGTTTCCTCTCTTCTTATTAGGCATATATGTTAACACTCTCTTGTTTATTCATATCAATGTTGGGTACAAACAATTAACTTCTTGGTACACTGACCAATAAAATGGACCAACACCTTTTCTGTGGATTATTTAACCTATTTTAGTCCACGTTTTAGGTGGAGATCTTTGGGTTTTTAACAGCAGCTACTCCTCGGCTGTGATTCTTAAGTAAACATTTACTAACTGGGAGATTCAATTGTGACTCTTGTTGTTTAACTGATTTCTTGTGTTTATTAGAGATTATTACCACAAAGGTCAATAAACTCTTTGGATGTCTAGTTCTTATCATCACCACTGTGAACAATTATACCTTGGTACTCAGTTTTTGGCTTTGTTTACATCTTCATGATGTGAGCATGCAGATATTTAGAGCTGAAGTGTTCAGTGGAATTCCCCTTTAATACTTAGAGTGCTCGCTCAGTGGTGCCGTCCACAGAGAGTTGAACTGTCCAGAGTGCTGAAATCACAGCTCTCTATGATTAGTGTGTGTAGGACCCACTGAGAAAAGCACTGAAACTACACAACTATACTGTGGATTCCAGAGTTCATAACCTAAAGATGCTTAATGACTGACCGATGCCCCGCCCACAAATTACTGTTGCCAGGTTGGACAAGCTTCAGAGAATGTACACAAAAATCCCATACAGCTTATTTTTGTTACAATTGGTTATAACCAATCACTAAATGTAACGTGTGTTATTAATAAAATAATTAATAAAATATTTCCATTGAGATTTATTTTGTATGTGTCTGAAAGAGCACACTATTAGGACAGACAGCATGTATTTTTTGGTCTTGTAATTGCGCTAATATTAGAGTGGTGGCAAATCTATTATTCATTTGCCAGGCTACATAACACTAGTGTTAGCTAGCTGACAAGCTAACTATTTCTAAATGTAAATTTTAAGGAACATGAGAGTGTGAATTGTATTGTATTGTATACAGTGTATATCGAAATACTATGAGCTAAGCATCACAAGGTACTTCAATATGTTTTATTTCAAATTTCATGTAATTTCTTCATTAGTCTGATAAGCTTCAGATTGATCATGCATCAAATACAAGCGTTTCTGGATGTTAATTTATTATATCTTCATTCTCAATGTTACATAGGTTTATCATTCAGTAAAGAATCTTCTACTTTGTTCACTATTCTGGATGCATCTAAAATTGATCTTTTTCACAGCTCCCTACTAATGAGTTAAAACCTATATACCTGTAGAGCAGAGCATCATAAAGGATGTATTTCACAGATCTATCTGCAACATTTTTTTGTTTGTTTTATTGAAAACAACGTTTATAACAATCAGTAGTAGTCACAGGATTGTTCAGCACTTGTTGTTTTTCCTGCCAGGTGAGAAGATTTTGCCAGTGAACTGGCTGATCTCTCACTAAGCTTTGAGTTCTTGGAAATTTGAGTTCAATAAACATAAAGTGGTACTAAACAAAGCCAAGGAGAGGGAGAGAAAGAAGAACAAAAAGCACTGAAGGAGCAGGTCTGATGGAGGTTGGTGATTAAGAAGACAGTGGGAGTTAAACTTTCTTTTAAAATTAATACTGAATTTGTAGAAACGTTCTCTTAACATATCCTCATCTGTAAGAATTTTAAAAAATGAACTGAGAAAAGTTAATATATAAGCTCACAGAGCAAAATCACACCGTTGCTAATCGTAGATTTTACCCATATTGTGCAAATTCGAATATTATTTTAGGACCTGTAGCTAATTGAAGAAAGAGGAAAAATGCTGCCTGACTTCAGTACCTTTGCTTGATCCGTGTCTGTTTTAAGTGGATGGATAGAGTTTACGTCACATTAGATCTGGGCCTTTTATGAAGGAAAGAGACCTACTGTGCGCCAGCTTGATTGTTTTATGCTTATTGCTACGCTAAAAATTCACGAAGAACAGACATTTTGGGGCCTTTTTTACTGTTCCTGGGTGTCCATCGTTTTTTTTCCAACATCCAAACTGGCAACAGCTGCTATGACAGAATGTGTTTATGGGCATGGAAAGGCAAAATCTACAAACAAATACTGTTAAACATTTGTAGGTTATTACATCTAATTTTGTTTTTTTAGTTTCCTCTTTTTCAGATGCATTCAAGGATGAAAGAATGAATTTTTATTGGGTCTGATAGGTGCAAGCTGGTGTGACCTGATGTGAACATCATGAAAGAAACAGTCTGGGTTTCAAAAGAAATCTGTTCTTAGGTAGTTATGTAGGCACCACATGAGCCCACTTGTAGAATGCGAAGGTGTGTATGTGTGAGAGTGATTTGGCAGTTTGGGGAGAGGGATTACAGAGAGGAGAAGATGTTTCCTAAAGGAACAATAAGAGCAATTACAATTAAGCGTTGTCCAGAGAGATTGGCTGTTGCTATGTTACGCACTTTATTCCTTGCACTGTCTGCACAGTCAATGTTCTATTCTAATCCACTTCAAGAAAATGAATCTATCAAAAGATCTCTCTGTCTCTCTCACACACATGCTAAAAGTCAGCTGTTACAAAGTTCTGAGGGGACTGTTTGCATTGTTTAGTAAAATTAGGTCTCCAAGTCTAAAGTCTTGCTCAAAGGTAATTCATCACCTTTTCCCTTTTAACCTGCTTTTTACAGTAAGATACTGTATGAGTCTGTGTAGCACTGGTCAGATGCTAGCACTATAAAAGAGTGTTGGAACATTCCATATTCCTCACTCACAAAGTATTTAACTTGAATATTTAATGCAGCTAGTGCCTGGACAGTTTAATCCCACTACAAGCATCCAAAGCAGAGGACAGCACTGAAACAGGGCATTTGAGGAGATATGAACAGAAACAAGAATGAAACTGGAGCCTACATAAAGATGTGAGCACAATATGTGTGTGTGCGTGTGTGTGAGTGTGTGTCCGTATGAGTGTTTGTTTCATTACTCACCTAGACGAGGGTCATACTGTCTCATCTGCACCTCCTCCACACACTCCGCAGGGAACCAGCCAGTTCTGCCTTTCACTGTGCCCTCCCAGAATCCCCCTTCACCTATACTCAACACTGAGGGAGAGAAAGAGAGAGAAGGAGACATAGTCATACAATAAGTAATCTCTGTGTACCTGCCTTCAGAGAAAAAAAAAACAAACAATCATAAGGTTTTTATTAAAGAAATTCTTCATGTTGGGGTAAATGTAACACCAGTAAAAAACACTTTCATCTCAAAATGTGTACAAATGGCAAAACTGTGAAGCTGAGACTGGCTTACTACAAACATCCAGAATCACTTACAGCTGAGTTGGTGGAAGATTATTTTCTTACAAAGCTCCTAAACTCTGGAACAGAATTCCAGACAATATTAGGAATGCGAGCTTGATAGGTGTTTTGAATCCAGTTCAGGCTAGTATATGTCTAGAAGTATTGTGGCTCATTGTCTCCTGCTTGTTATTGTCCTGTTATTTTTGTTTACAGCAGGGCTGCCCAAAGTGTGGCCAAAGTTGCCAAAGTAAAATTTTACTTTACTTCCTTATTCCTGTGTAAAATACTTTGATATTTTGTAACTATAATAAAAACTGCTATATAAATAAAGACACACGGTATTACTATTACTTAGTCACTTTGTTAAGTGGGCAAAATATAGAAACCACACAAACACACTCACACACACACTTACACATAAGGTCTGCTTTAGATTTGTTTTTATTTGAAGGAATATTCCTACATAAATGTTGTACACTCTAGTGCTGTCTCTCGTGTATCTGTAGCTGTGTTTGAAAAATCTCTGGCAACCAAGGATGAAGATCATTAGTACACCATTCGCAATCACACCTGGAATCATGAGGGGGATGTGTTGAGTCACAGCAGATCTCTCCTCTTGCTTGCTAAACTCCTGTAAAGTGTGTTAGGCAAGTAGCAGCAGCAGCGTGAGGAACTTCAGCTCCGTGGGGCTAACAGTTAATGCTGTTCTCTATAAGATACAATTGGCAATACCAGTACCAAAAATACCAGTTTATCCTAGTCTAGCTTTTGATCCATCTCTAAGTGAAAGTGGGTTCGGGTCGGGTTTGGGTTTCAGATTTAGCAGTATCAGACACGTCTAGATGGGTCGGGTCTTAAAGTCATGGGTGTGGGTTGAGTTTGGCCTTAAATTTCTTGCCCTTGCAGGCCTGTAACACACACTGACCCACCCACACAATGCACACATATGCCAGAAATAAACAGATATGAAAAGATTACCGTAACCACTCTGAAGAAATGCTTGAGGCTCCAGACAGCAGCTGTAACTTGCCGTCATGTAAAGCTAACATTAACATTACAGCTGGTGAATAATTCATTGCTAAATAATTAATTAATTGATGTAATTCGTTCTGTGTCCGACTAAATCTCTGGATCTTGCACATTAAGACGGAAAGTGCTTGTTTTTATGATGATAATGATGGATATCTGTGAATGTGTGGCACTTGACCCACAGACCCACAGGCTCTGCACTTTTAATGGCCAAAATGTGAATTGTTTTGGTCAGGGGCACTGGACAATAGGCAATGTCAACCCCTGCTAACGCAAAAACACATGCACACACGCACGTGTACACGCACATACTAACACACGCCCAAATACATTCTCCTGAGTCAAGCGCTGTCCTTCGGCTTTGTAGTTGCTAGGATACCACAGTTACAAGGTATGAGCGTATAAATGTGTGTGTATGTATGAGAGTGAGGGTGTGTGTGTGTCTGTGTGGTGCGTTTAAAACGTTTAGCGAAAGCAAGGACTGGTGTGCAGTTTTCTTTATGCCCCATTAGATTCATAGATCAAGAAGCCACAATTAGCATAGCAGCAATCAAAAACGCTCACACAAAGACAGAATCATTCACTCCCTTTTTCTCTCTCCCTCTCTCTCTCTCTCACACACACACACACACACACACACACACACACACACACACACACACACAACAAAGTGAGAGCTGACAAGAGCACAAAGGTTAGTGGTTTTCTTCACTTGTACGAGTAAGCGACAGCTATCTAGCACTACTTGGTCCCGTAGATCTGTGTGTGTGTGTGCAGTGGAGTGTTAGCCGGGCTCTTGTAGTGTAATCTGTGATGAGAGTGGGGCTTTTCACTACACACACTCCATTGATGAGATGTAAGAGGAGTCACAACCCTTCATCGACCCTCCTCCTCCTCTGTTCCCCCTATAGAGAACAACCCAATGACACACACACACACATTCTTTCTCTCTCTCTCTTTCACTTAGGAGGTGTTCAATATATTGTCTCTTAATCTGTACTGTAATGTTGGTTTTCAATAAAACCCATACAAATACTTCAAATTAAGGAGCAATATGTCTTTACTTTGAATTAATATGTCTATGATTTAAAACACCAAGGTCAATATAGACAGCAATAAATGAATTTAAACAGGTGTATAACTCATAAAATCTGGCACACCAAATGCAATTTGTTGGATGGCAAAAACGTGACATTATTGTATTCGTCTTCTATTTGACTTCTGCAAACTTTTACAACTCACTCCACTAATCACTGTTGTCTCTGGTGTTGGCATGGCCACAACCAAGATGACTGACTGGCTGCATCCCAGCAAAAAAAAAAAAAAAAAAACCTTTTTTTTTTTTAACAAACATCAAAAGGATTATCTTTTTTGCCTCTTCATTACGTGTGGAGCTGAAACTCCAAAAGCATCTCAAACTGAGTTACAGACATCGGAACTGTGTGAAAGATCACTCAAAGTTTCACCTCCTAAACACTGTGAAACTCTCTGTTCTTCTTTCACGCTTCCAAAATGGAAAGTAGGCTACGCATCATTGATTGCCTGTATCTACAGAGGCTCGAAAATGTTAATGAGAAATCTAGTAAAGCTCAGGTGACTCTCAACAGTATTAGGGTTAGAATTAGGCTCAGAATTAGGACCAGGGTTGGTATCAGAACTAGGGCAATCCAAATCAAGTGTTACAAGAATGTTTTTTAGGGGCTCCCGAGTGGTGCAACCGTCTAAGCGTTGGCCCTATCATCAGGAGATCGCGAGTTCGATCCCTGGTGATGCTACAGCCATCCGTAGTCGGGAGTCCGAGAGAGCCCGATTGGCCTCGCTCTCTCTGGGTGGGTAGGATGGCCCCTCCTTCTCCCCCCATCACTCAACGCGATGCTAGTCAGCGCAGGCGTCTGTTAGCTGACGTAACCGATCTGGCGGTTGGCGCTTTCCTCAGAGCGCGTTCGGCTGTCCAGTGACGTTGCGCGAGCGGCAGTTCGAAAAGAAGCGGTGGTTGGTTTCACAGGTCTCGGAGGAAGCCTGTGTTAGCCTTCGCCCTCCTAGCATTGATAGCATTGTGTGATTGGGGGAGTCCTAACTAGCGGGTGGAATTGGAAACGACTAAATTGGGGAGATAATTAAAAAAAAAAGAAAAAAAAAAGTTTTTTTAAACTTGACATTGGTTGTTTTGATTGAATATTGTAATATACTCTGCTCATAGTAGTCTATAAGCAGTATACTATAAGAATACTTCAGAGTATAAGAAAATATTGCTGCTTCTTCTTCCTTAAAAATGAAATATCTTGTTGTTTGTTGCCAGTATATGCCAAAATATAGGTGGAACATTTTTAGCATATATTGTAATATATTCTTCTTCTATACTGAAAAATACTAGGAGTGTATGATTCAATTACAAAGTTCCCAATTCAATATGTATGCAAAGACCGTAATTAACTGCTAGACTATATTAATTCATATGTACTGTTCTGTGAGAAATATGTAATTAAAACAAAGCAAGTAAAAATATTTTTTCTTAGAGGTGACACTGAGGAGGTTAAAGACAAAAGGACCGAGCTTATGACAGATAGCTAAAAGACTTCAAGAATAAGGTTCAGACTTAGTTTTGCACTGGAAATCCAATACAATGATGGGCAGGACACTTAAAAGACAAGATGATGGCCCTGTGTTCATCCTCTCCTTCACGAATGATCTCAACTGGTTTTAAGGAAGATCTGATGGCACACATTTTAAAAATCTGAGCAACGCCATTTGTGGCAGTGTACCCAGACTTCCACAAGTCAGTTGTCAGAGGGGGAGACTGGCACCTGCCTCTCACGGATTAAGTTCCACAAAGCATCTGGACAAGATGGCCTGCAGCATGTTTTTAAGGAGTGCTTTATCTAGTTAAAGCTTGTTTTAATTAAATAATTTCAATTTGTTGTACACCTGTACTGTCCCTAATACATGGAAAGTATCTATTATCATACCAGTATCCAAAAGACTAGGGTCTAAATTTCTGAACGACTTTTGCCCAAAGCTTTAATGGACAGGGCTGTCAATAAACATCTCCCTTCATCCACAGCAGACCAGTTAGACCCATTACAGTTTGCTTATAAAGTTGGGGGACTGAAGATGCCATGGTAATTATGGTGAACATGGTAGCCAGTCATCTGCAACAGACTAAGGCTCATGAACAAATTTTATTTATTTACTGATTTTAGTTCAGCTTTAATGTGATGCAGATACATGTACTTTTACAAGATCTTTTAGATCCATGGGTGAAAGGGGGCCTGCATTGGGTTGAAGACTTTTCAACAGACTGTCCACAAAGAGTTAATGTTAAAGGAGTACTCTCTGATGAGACTGTTTTAAACACAGGGATACATCAGGGACGTCACCATTATTATTTTCTGTGTACACTAGTGATATGGAGCTGCAGAAGAGTAATTTTAAGTTATTTACATTTTCAGAGGACATGGCTTTAGCTGGCCTGTTTTATAAGAAAGATTATGCATCTGAGTACTCTGATCAGGTTTTAAAATTACAACACTGTTGCAAGTTCAGTTCCTTGTTAATCAATGTTGAAAAAACAATAGAGCTTATTTTAAATCATGCAGATCCCCTCCCACCTCTCATACTTTGTGACCAATTTGTGGAAACTGTTAATTGTTCTAGGCATTTAGGAATATACATGGATTATCAGTTGAGTTTTACATACACTGTTGAAGCTAGTCAGGTTTGTGGTTCATAATAATAATACAGAAAAAGTCTATGTTAGCTTGATAGAGTACTCTCGT